TTAATTTCTGTTGAAGTAGGATAATAGAAGCAGAAAAGCTCTACAGAGCTGATGGTTTATACTGAGCAGTAGTGGATAAGCATCATCATTCTCCTATTAGGTGTACCTTTCTAGAGTTGAGCTTTTAACAACAGACATACTTGTTTCCTATTACATTGGCCGTATGGAGACTGCGAGGAAGCGGTACTGTCCCCTTAGTTTCTGGTCTTGACCAGGTCATGGTTTCTAAAAGAAAAAGAAAAAAAGCCCTCAAAAACCTCATTACTGCATATTTCGCTACCTAGGAGGGGACATACCTCTAACATTCAACAAAACAAAATTTCACCTTTTTAAGATGGCCACTTTAAGAAAGAAGGTGCAACAGCAAGCACTTAAAGCTTATTTTAAAATTAACAGGAAATACTGACAAACTAATTGTTTATCAGTTTATCAAAAAGATCTATTATGGTTTCATTATCGTTATTCCACTTGGTTATCATAGTGTCAGTCTTTAAAGCACTCTAAGGAAACACTCTCACATTGCAACTAAAATCAGCAAAGACAAGACACGCAAACAATGCTGCATCTATTTAATTCAAAAAATTACGAAAGGTTAACACTACGGTGTAACTCCCAATAATATCTGCACCACATCATGCCATTAATCATTATATTCTATAATTTTTCCTCACAGCCAGTAAGACCCCTGCACTGACTTCTACTGGCAAATCAACTCACCTATGTCAAGTTCCCAAAGATCATTAAGCCGACAGCCACACATCCCTCCAAAAATATACATCTTTGGATTTCCCAAATCTTTTCTGCAGTATACAATGGCTGTGTGAGATTCTCGGGGAGACGGCAAGATCCCTTTGGTCACAGGAATACTCCAGCCGACAACGCCAGAACCGTGTTGCAGCTCCAGTTCATAGAAATCATTTAAATATCTAGGGTATTATTGTCAAAGTATGAAAAATTCACTTATAAGCAAGATTACAAGCGAGCTTTAAACCCTGACCACTTCCAAGTATTACAGATTTCTGTCTTGGAGGAGTGTAGAATTTTAAAATCTCAAAGCATTCGATGGCATTGTGGACAGTATCAAAAGTAAATGGGTTTGAAACAAAAAATATACTATTATAACTTGTTGCCTCTACGGAAACATGCTTTCATCTCATACTTGATACACTGTATTACATGAAAGAAACATTCTACATTGGTAAACAACATTCTTAGCAGAAATTACTACATATGGACACACTTGGAATAAACTGCAAAGTTGTGAGAATTAAAACACAATGTGAGACACTGGAGATCAATTTCTGCAACTCTAAGGCAACAAAGGTGAAAAGACACTGTTTCTTCTCTGATGTCTTCAGGCTGGCCAGCAGACAATTAGCCATTTGTTGCTGAATCTATCAGCAAGTTATTTTTATATAATGGTCTTTGAACCTTGTCATTCACACCAGATACCTTTTGTTTACTGAGCTTAAAATTGCCAGTTTATAGCTCAGTGGATATAAGTGCTCTGAACTGCAGATGAATGTGGATATAAAACTTCAGCATCATAGCACTGTTTGCTGATAATTAAGGCAACTTCAGCTGTTACTTTAAAAAATTTCCAGACGAATTCATAACTGTTTTCCACAGCATTACAGAAGAAACTTCCATTATGAACTCCCTGATGACTCATAAGACTTTGCTGATTTAAGTAATTCTAACAAACCAGCCATTCTTAAAAACATCACTCAAAATACCGGGCAAAATACCAAAGTCTACTCAGCTTTCCCTCCACAAGTGTCAGAGCTGTCAGTCATTGCTACATATTGTGGGATTAGCAGAAGAAAATTAAGCTCCTGAGCATGTAACCCCTCCACTGCACAAATAATCCAAATGCGAGTACTTGGTACGCAGGACAGCCTCCCTACAATGCTTCTCTTCAAAGTTGTCATACATAGTAATTTAAAGACACTGAATTCAAACCAAATCAGCATACCTGGGAACGTTATTATTTGAATCCTCACTTTCATTTGCCAGGCCACCAAATAAATAGCACTTGTTACCATATAAAGAAAAGCTGTGGCCAAGTCGAGGGCAGGGTGGTGATCCAGTGGAAGGAGCTTGAGGTTTTACTTTTTTCCAGAGCCATCGACTGGCCTTAAAGACAAGAAGAATATATTCAGAAATATCTTCATCTGTAGTTGTTCATAGTCAAAAGAATTCAGATAATATTAACACTCATTTATTTTCTGAATTACTTTTAAGGGAATGCTGGGCTTTTCTTAGGATATACATTAAAAGAGACACATAAGATCTAACTTTTGTAAAACATTAAATACTTCATTTAGACTATATGGAAGTCTCTTTTTCAGAAGTCATTTAGATTTTCTCTATCTCCAGAATCTATTTAAAGAGTTTATTCTTTCTAGAGCAGAGCAAAGCTCATCTAACTTTCCTCTGCAGTTGGTAATACAAAATGTGTTTGTTCATAAAGAGATAAAGTAGTCTTCAAAACTGAAACATCTTCATACACTTCCTACCTGCAATTCATATAAATCATTACTGTATCTTCCATATTCAACCATTCCTCCAAAAACTAGTATTCTGGTACCATCACAAACAAATCCATGTGCGGCACAGCCTGGAGGAATATCTCCCCTTACAGCAGGAAGAAACCACTGATTTGTAACTACAGTAGAGAGGAAAGAAAAAAAAAAAAAAAAAAAATCAAACACCAAGAAGCAATATGTATTTTTAAATACCTCTGCTTTCTAAATAATTACCTTTTACCTGTAGATAACTGTGAATAGGCTTTTTGTTTAATGCTAAATTTTAATTGAATTATTTTTTTTTTAATAAAAACAAAACAAAACACCTCTATCAAACCAACATTACTCAATATATGAATGAGCACATGAGGTCCCTGTAACTAAGTCTGTTACCAAGGGTCACCCAGCAATTTAAAAAAACTTGCCAGAAAAAAAAGAGGCTAATGAGGAACATAAGTACAGTTCCACACAAAAGAGATAACTCAGAAAGAATTAGCCCTATAAATAGAATTATTAGAGCTACAGCAGCACGCCAGTGTGCCTGCACTTAACAGCCCTATCAAAAAACTAATTACACTGTTCTAGGACCAATCTTAATATGTATAGAGCACTGCACTGATACATGGGAGAGGAGAGGCACAGAGGCAAGAAAGAGCAACTAAGACTGCCTGATCCAGCAGCAGCACAGTGGTGTTCAAACTGTTCTGGAATGCAAGAATTACAGGAGATATTGTCTCCTTTTTCCTAAGCGTCTTTCATGAGCACAATGAGGAAAAGTGTGAACTTAGAAGCTTCCAGTGAATGTTGCCGCAGGGGATTAAGATGCCCTTGCTGTACGCCAGCTCCTCCAGTCACCACACTCATAGCAAGAGCAATGGATGACACCCCAAACTCAGGCAGCCCACGTCAAAACCCTGCACCTTAGCCCCCAGAGAAAGAAAAAAAGGTCAGTTTGGGCCAAACAGTCATCTGGGAACTGGAACAACTAAGTTGTGACCCTATCTGTCGCTGCTGAAAAGGGGAAACGCATTTAGCAGAAAGTCTGGGCAGAAAAATAAAACCAGTGATGTCAAGACTCACTCAAAAGGCACACATCAGTACCTCTGTTCTGACAGATAATATAATTGCACTATGTAAAAGCTTTCTTTAGATTATTCCTTTAAACAGAAAGGTTAAGAGATACTTTTTTTCTCCCCCCAGAAATGTGATTGACTACAGCAGATCTGTAAACTACCATGGAAAAATCTGCTTGGAAGAACTCTAACAGCAAGCATTTTCTTAATAAGCACCTCCCAAACATGTTTGTGCTCCCAGCTTTTACCTCAAAAACACACAGAAAAAATACCATCACCTTTTTTCTTTTCTTTTTTTTTTTTTTTTTTTTTTTTGGGGGGGGGGAGGGGGCATGATAAGAATAATTTTTAAATTATTCTTAAAAATTGGCAAATTAAAAGACTAGCTAACAGGTTCTCACTTTTGGGCCTTTGGTATGTTACACACACACGGCCAACATGGGCTGACTGAGAAACACAGATCAGTCACTTAACTGTCCCATCTCAGCCGAAACTCTGAAATTACCAGAAAGTTTTCCAGCATCCCGTCCAATAACTATTTAGGCATCTAATCTTTCACAAGCAAAATCGGTCTCGAGCAGCTTCCTGTTTGGAAAGGCTCCCAGTGCCAACACGTTCACTTTTCTAACCAAGATTTCCATTTCAGCGCGTTCAGCTCTCGTGAGCTGCCACCAGAGGGAAGAAGGGGGATCCGGACACTCGAGGGGGGCTAATCCAGCCGCCAGCCAGTCAGCCGAGCCCTGCCAGGGGAGACTCGGCACCCCAAGAACGAGGGGCTGGGAAAGCGCAACAGAAAGCGGTTTCCCAGGTTCTTTTTTCCCCCAAAAGGCGCATTAACCCCCCCCAACACCAGCCAGGCCGCAGCACAGCCCCGGGCGGACCCCTCGCCCGGGCGGATTTCCCGCATCCCAATTTCGGCTTCAGGCAGCTTTTTCAGCTTCCCTCCCCTCAGCCAGCGCCTCAGCCGGGCCCCCACGGGCGTTCCCGCGGGAGGGCAGGGGGATCTCCCACGCTGTGGGGATACCGGTACCACCGGCGGCGAGAGACGTGACAGCCGCGGGCGCCGCAGGCCCCGCCCCGCGCGCTCCCCGCCCCCACCCCCCCCCCCCCCGCCGCCAGCAGCCGGCCGTTGCCCGCCAGCCCCGCCCCGCCCCGCGCACCCGTGTTGTAGACGTGCAGCTCATCGGCGATACCCTCGTTGCCGCCCCCGAAGATAATGACCAGCTCGCGGATGGCGACCGCCCGGTGCCCGTGGCGGGAGCGCGGCACCGGCCCCGTGAAGGAAGACACCCGCCTCCAGCTCAGCCCAGCGGCGGCCGCCGCCATCTTACCGCCACTCCCACAATGCACCGCGCGGCCGGGGCAGGCTACGGCGGGGCGGGGGGGCGGTGTCGGTTGAGCCGGTGGGTGAGGGGGACCCGCCACCGCCGGTCCCCGCCCGCGCCGCGGCTGGGGCGGGGGGTGCCGGCTGCGGCCCCTCGGGTGCCTGGGACCGGCGGAGAGGCGCGGCGAGGGAGCCGCGTCTTGTCCCCGGTCCGGGGCGGGGACTCGGAGGCCGCCTCCGCCCCTGCCCCGCGGGATGCCCACCCGGCCTTGGCCTTGCTTCGGCGGGAGTCCTGTCGCGGGGCGTCTGTCGGCGATAAACCCGCCTGCGTCGGCGACGGGCCCGCCGGCCTGGGGTCACCGCTGGTGTGCGTGTGTAGTTAGGGTAGCCACCTCTGCGTTCACATCCTCAGAAATGCGCAGCAGCGTTGTTAACGTTTTTTTTGTTTTTTTTTGTTTTTTTGTTTTTAACGTGCTGGTGGTAGGCGAGGTATTCGTCTGAGAGAGAGAGTTGCTGTGTAAACGCTGAAGGTTGAGACTAGAAACCAAGGTTTCAGTTCTCCAGTTAACAGCAGATAATCTGAGTAAACCCGAAGATACTCTGCAGCACAGAACCTGCTCCCTTTCCTGTGTGAGGGGGCTGTTAAGTGAGAATACAAACACGTGAAGCTGAGGGAAACCCAGAGAAGGTGCTGCTGGGTTGCCAGTAATCCAGGGGTTGCTGCCAGGTGAAGCATATGGTCCCAGTGCTGCAGGCTTATACAGCTGTGTACTGCTTAGATCTGTTCAGGATGCACATGGAACGGAGATAAAAAAAAAAAAAAAATGGTGCATTTGGATGAATGTGAGTTTAATACAGTTTCAAAAAAGAAAATGTAGTACAGAAAAAGTAATAGTTGCGGCTGTCTGCATGAAGCACATAACTGTATTTAGAGCTCTTAATTTATACTTTATTCAAGCAGCTTTCCAAAAGATGGATTTCTGTACAAAATCAGACACCGATAACACAGTTTTGGCATGTTTGAGACATAGTTGAAAGGCCACATTTTCAGTTCCTGCAAATGGAACAATAATCATCATTTAAAACACCTAAGATTTTAAAAACCTTGACTGAATACTCCTGTCTAGCATGAGGCAGTGCAAAACTTAAAATATGAAAAATAATTTATAATTGAAAATTATTATTATACCTTTCAGTACTCTAATATTAAAGTCTTGTGACTAAACAGTGTTTTATCATATAGAAGGGAGGCCCCTAGAAGGGCAGTAGAGAATCTGAATAAAAGAAGCGGTGTAGAAGTAAAACAGCAAAATCGTTCCAGGAGAGTTTAGGAGTATCAACATGTGCTGGTTACGTTGATCTAAAATCCCCTTGAATCTAAACCAAACCTGTGGATTCAGAATCCTGTAACTGCTCAAAGATTCGGAAAGTAAATGATTCAAGTCAAAATGCATCTTCAGAGTTGAAGTTGTTTGCAAGTTTCCCTTAGCTTTTGACTCACAAGAACTCTGCAAACAGACATTGGAAAAACTTTGGCTTTCAGTTTGACTTTGGCATGCTGTTTGGCTCTTGCACGCTAGTTACCTGTTCATATTTACTGTAAATAATGACTAGAAACCTAACCTACAACTAGACGGTTGAAGTAACTTCTGGAAGGGTTTGTTTCCTTTTCTTCCCCCCACCCCCTTAAGACTTTTTGTCTTACGGGATTTGTTTGCAATCTGCTCGCTGAAGCTCTGAGGCAAGTTTGCCAGATCTGGGACTGCATCATCGTTCTGCACATCTGGAAGTGGTTTATGGGCTCTCATTCCTCCAGTGCGGCATCTGGACTCTGCAATTCCTCAGCAGCAGAGGAAAGAAAACCAGCACAACTCCAAAATAAACTCTGAAGAGTTTGAAAAAAGAGTTGAATCTTAAAATTGTTACTGTGCCCTGTAAGGCCCTTGTGCGTGCAACTTCAAAGGAGGATGATGATTAAGGAAGCTTTGGCAAGAGTGTTTGCAGCTGTGGGCTATCAAGGATCCGAGTAAATATCTCTACAATTCTTCAGGAGAGACGAGTCCTGAATACTGTGCTGCTTTGAAGAGGTAAAAAAGACTAATTATGTAGGAAATATCTGAGCAGTAATGTCACTGTTTGTGAGCTTTCCCTTCTACAGCCCCTTGTTCTGTTACAGGATTTGGCAACTGAATTGGGGACTGCCAGGCTCCAGGAATTAATGTCTACAGTCAGGAAAAATTGAGTAAATATTTGCAGGGGAACAAATATTCTTCTTCTTTCCTTAAAAATTAGTGGGTAATCAGTCTGTGTTTCTGAGGTTTAGGAATGCTGTAGTTTTAGAACTCAAACTTGTAAGAGAATGTCTGAGTTTGAATTTCAGAGTTTAAAATGTGGTTCAGTTTATGTTGATTTAATAATTTCTGAAGATATCATAAGGCTGTGCTTATCCAACTTTCATCTTGCAGTGATCGTCATTATTGTTTGTGACTGTCATTACAAATCCTAATTAAAAGATAGTAGGAAGCTTTGATGAGATCAGTGGAATATTGCTACTACCTGAAGTGGGGTTAGAAAGTTACTCCCAAGAGTGTAGAGGGATTCTGTTGTCTCTCTGCTTATCTAAACAAGTAAACATTTTTAATGGATAAGACGACAGTACTTGTGTGTAATGCGTGAGAGAAGGGCTTTCTCAGCAGTGAGGTTTTTTTGACTGATAAGCTTGATTTCCTCTCTGTGTAAATTAATGCCGCATGAAGAGAGCAGGCTGCTGGAATGTAGATAAGTAGTGCAGATGTGAAAGGACTTCCAGACATACTCCTCTCACTGTGATTTAGTCATCTGTTGGGACCTAAATACACGTGAATATAAATTGTTTGTAAATAAAGCTTCTTTTTTTTTTTTTTTTTTAGATATTTTTATTGTAACTTAACTTGTTAGTTGAAGTAGAGACTAATGTAGGATACCGCCTGAGCATTATCCTATGAGCACTGAGCATTAACCAATGAGAGGCAGTCAGTTTCATGACTCAGGTTTCAAGAATTCTTGCTGTTCCATCTGTCTTCTCAAGGAGCTGGAATAAACTTCATTTTTATATGTGCATTATAACCGTCGTATATCCTTATCCGTGCTATAATGTGTCCATATCTGTAGGTATGGAAACAGGAAAAAAATGTTTCTGTCCTACAGAAACATACAGCTACCATATTATAATTTAGATCACTAAGTTGTATTTCCCCCTCCCCTGCCACAACTTCTGCAGCTGTTTTTCTACTGTTGTTTTATTATTTTTATTTTCTCCATAAACAGTAGTTTTGTGTCCAGAATTCAAGTGAATGTTGTATTTCCCATAATCCTGGATTTTAGGGATTATGTTCTGTCCTCTCAGGCATAAAGTCATGGCCACTCTTGGGCCTGGTTTAGAAGTAGGGAATACTACCTCATTTTCTTCAGCATCACAAAAAATGTGCTTAAATACAAGCCACATTGTACAAACACCCACCTTACTGTTAGTGGAAGGATATTGTTGTTAGAAGATATTTTCACTATTGCTCTGAAATTTTCTGAGAGTCTGAAAGACACTGTTCTAGTATAAGACTCCTATACATTTGGGAACATACTTCAGCAAGAGATTACTATTTGTGTTTGTTATTATGTCTTAGGTGAGGTCAGAGATAAATATATATGTATTTACAAATTGCATCAGTGCGTATTTAATACTTCTTTGCACATTACTTTAAAACGTGTTTAAAAATCTTAGTTATTACTGATGTAGGTGATTGGATAGAATTTATTAAAATGCTGTTGTTTTCAACCTATTAGTAGCTCAAATTAAAATATGTAATAGTTCTAGCCCAGAATAGTAGTTATTTGTTCCAAAAAGGTTACTTACAAAGGTAGAGTTCAGTTTTACTTTTACCAGGTCAACAGTAAAGTTTGATGGTGCAAAACCTTGTCCCTGAAATAACTAACTAGTATTCGCTGCTGGTATTAATGATTTTTCTCTTTTTTTTTTTAATATTATTTTTTTATTTTTATTTTATCACAGATTACAGTTCTCATCCAACAGGACACATGGCTCTTTTAAAGAAAAGTAAGAGAGATTAAAAACATTTGAAAAACATGCTTTCAAAAGAATACAGAAGTGTCAAATGCAGTTCCTCATGCAGCTGTTGTCACAGTTGCATGCAATTTTATAGTTCTGATTTTGCTAAATTATGCTTAAGTATATGAATAAGCCTTTTCCTGTTAAGTCAGATAAGTATGGCCATAAATCCCATTAATTTAAAATTACTCACTACTTTACTGCATGAGACTGGGGGGGTCTGGAATTTCCCACTAAGAGCGCGGGTAGCTGCTGGTTTCATGTGGGTTGTGCTGTGAGAACTGAACGTGGCTTTTTTTACAGAACTCTGCATATCAATGCTGTTCATACTCACAATTGAGGTGTGGCCCTGGGAAATTTGGGTTCTCATCAGCTGTCAGGGTCAGTGACTGAAAATTGACTGCTGTGTGCCTTCAGTTATGTATGTTTACCAATTTCAATTTATTCTCATGCCCAGTTGTGGCCAGTTGGCCTTTTTGATTAAAATAGTTCAAAACTTTGTTCCCTTTGCTCTTTTGTACACCTTAAATATCTTTTATGGTGGTGCAAAGGTAACAAAGAACTCCCATCATCAAAGTCACTGTTGATGATGGCAGTGTATTCCTTCCCTGTTGCACTCAGTGAACTGTCCTGGTACCTGCTCATGGTTAGTTTATGTTGAATAACTTCAACTTGTACAAGACAGTCTGGTAGGAACTGTAAATCAGAATATACAGTAAGGTGTTGGCTGTTGCATGCTCTGTTTTGATTTTACTAATTAAAGTAACCGTGTCAAAATGGTTTTGTATTTTCAAAGATTTTGGGGCACTTCTGGTTTCAGTAGCATGCTGGGTTTGTTTTTCTAGGTTTTTTTATAGATTTGCTCAAATACACCTTGAGGATCTGAACAATGGAATCAAAAAAAAATACCTCCCGTGTTTGAAGTTTTATCAAGGAATTGTGAGAGAAGGAAAGGGCTAGGTAAAAATAATTAACTCATTAAGTCCTCTGATGATAAACAGATAGCAAACTAGCTGAGAAAATAAAGTTTTAGGCTCCTGGTAAAATTCAGAAATGTGAATTTTCTAGTATAGATAACCCATATATAATGGGATCTTAATGATTTACTGAGCAGATTATCCATGAAAATCAGGTAGATGGAAATTAGTGTAATGGGGGAGAGATAGTGTTATGTTTTTAACATAAAATTTTTGCTTGATCAAATAATAAGAGAATTTGATAAACACAGCAAATACAGGTTATGATATGTAACCTGTTCTGGTTGCAAATTGGAATTTTTTTAGAGAAGGGTACTTGGGAATTTGCTATTATACCGTTTTAACAAATTATCTCTTGTTTCAGTTAACCAGATCTTACTGTTACTTCTTGTTTTAACCGTGTGCGCCATTTTGTATAACAAAGTTCACCAAGTGCCATCTACATTAAAGAATGAAACAGGTAAATGACTTGTACTTCTGTTTCATTATGTTCTTGTTTTATACTCCTTATCTCTTAATTTGAACAGTGCTTTTTGTCTTACTGAATTCTGTTTGCTCTGCAGTAGATGAGCTACTCTCACTGTTGCATATGGTCTGGGATGCGGAATCTTTTGCTTCTGAATTACTTGAGTAAAATAGTTGGAGATCAGTAGTAATGACTAAGAATTGTCATTCTGATTAAAATTTTTATCGAGATGTCACTGATGTAGATGGAAACTGGAGTACATGCTTATTTGTGCTAAACATTATTGGCGTTGACAAGTGATAATAAACTTGGATCACAACTTGCCCCTTCGGGAATGTTCTTGGCCTACCTGTTCATTTCACATAGATCATCAAATCTTGACATAATTTACAGCAGAAGATTTTGCTAGAATTTTTATAGTGACACAAACACAGTGGGGTTGATAAGGTTGGACTGATACTGAATGTCTGTACTAATAGCTTATTCACTGTTCCAAAGATAAACAAACTCTGTCTCTGTCTAAACCATTTTTTTTGTATATTTTTGTTGGGGCTGTTAGGAGTTTAATGGTTACGTTTTAATCAGTATAAATATATCCATATAAGTTCTGTAAGTTAATCAGTGCTAGGGACAAAAATCTTCCTCAAGAGTAATGTGAACCAATTCAGTATTGCGTAGATTTTTTTCCTTTTATCATTAGCAACTTGCTGCTGGTACAGAATTGTACACTATTCCTTTCTAGCCTGCTTCGCAAAGAAGTGAAGCTCATGCAATTGCACCATCTCTTTGATTTATGTCTTCCCTTTGATAATTTTGGAACCTATTGTTCAATTTCTACTAAATATAATTGAGAAGTAGAAGTCTCAAAGGTATTCAAACTTCTTCAGGTTACATGTGAATAAGCAGCTACATGGAGGACAGGCTGAATTGTGCCCCTGCTGAGTAGAAGATGCCAGGAACTCTCTTAAATATTCTGTTTGGAGGCATCCAACAGTCCAGTCAACCTGCAGGTAGTTCTGGATTAGCGACAGCTCGTGCTGTGTGCCTTGCCAGGTGCGGATGTGTATAGGATGTGGTAAGGAAATGGAGTGACCGTGGTATGATTTCACTGCTTATGGGGACTACATACTCATTCCTATGACCCGGATCTGACATAAAAAAGATTCTAAAATTTCTACTATAATGCATAGTTTTGTTTCTTGTAGTTGATTCAGAGAGTCCTGAGGAAATGGAAGAAGAAATCCCAGTTGTAATCTGCGCTGCTGCGGGCAGAATGGGTGCAGCTATAGCAGCAATCAGTAGCATCCACAGCAACACAGAGGCCAACATTTTGTTCTACATAGTTGGGCTGAAGACTACCATCCCTCATATTCGGTATATACTAGCCTTATTTTGTTTCATGCTGTAGTTAGGACCAAGTGGTTGTTCTCCTTAGAATGGGCATAGACTCTGGAGGACTTCCCAGGGAAAAGTTTCTCCCTTTTATTTAAGTAGCACTATTTGTAGCAATCCCCAGGATTCTCTACATGTAGGAAAAATGACTGTTTTGCTCTACACGATGCACTAACTGGTATAAAGGGGTGTGAAATAGCCAGACCATGCCCTGTGTGCCTCTCTGCCTTTTGTAGATCGGCTGCAGAAGGGTCTGTAGTAAGGTAAGTATATACACGCTTACTTGACACAATCCCACCTTGTGGCACTGCACTTACCTCTCATCTAGCACCGTGTCTTAAGCATCAGAGTAGAAAAACTTGCTGTTTAAAGATAATTCCAGTTAAGAGGGTGTGTTAATATAGTAAAATAATTAGAGGCCCAAAGAAGCTTGTAATGAAAACATGTTTGGGTGTTAAAATTTGCAAACATCGCATAAAAGAGGAGGAAGTTGTGAATCAAAATCAAAGCAGATTTCTTAGCAGTTCTCACGTCTGGCTACTGCACTTCTGTGGCCTGTGTACTCACGATTTGTGCCAAAGTGAAAAGACGTAATGAGTGGGATTCCACATGGAGTTTTTCATATCCAGTTCATCAGTAACCTAGCTAATAGAATGGAGAATGTTCTTTTTGAGACTGCAGCTGGCATGAAGCTGGAAAAGAGGCAGCAGCTATATTGAGGACAAGAGCTAAAAACAAACAAATCGTGATGAATTGGAAAAATGAACTGTAAAATGTAATGGAATTCAGTAGAGGTAATGACAAGGTAATATAGGTGGGAAGAGCTGATTGTATTGGCTCAGGGTGAGGCAAGAATTCAGTAGCACTCACCTGAAAAACTACAGAATTATGACTGATACCTGACCACACTGATTCACTGGTTTGGGTCTTTTTTAAGAACAGATTAAACAAATGTGTGCAATGGCTGTAGACATAAGTGATTCTGTCTTGGGATAGAAGAGTTTGAGTGAGCTTTCAAGGTCTCTTATTATTCTCCTATAAGCCTGTGAATTTAATACTGGAAGTACTTGCCACACACTCAATATTTCTTTTATCACTTCTTTTTTTTATCACAGAAAATGGATTGAAAATTCTAAACTGAAAGAAATAAAATTTAAGGTTGTAGAATTCAACCCTATGGTACTAAAAGGAAAAATCAGGCAAGATGCATCGCGTCCTGAGCTACTGCAGCCTGTGAGTAACTGAACACCACATAACAAGTTTTCAAGGTTTTTAATGCTTATTACAGGCTTTAAAATATCGTAGATCTCTGTTCCATTACACGGGGGTTTGTAAGACAGAGAAGCCACACTAGCTCCAAATGCTGTGCCCTCAGGAAGGAAATGTTCCTTGCAACTTGTCTGTCTTGCTGGCACCTTGTTATTTGGTGGTGTAAAGTTGGTAATTTGAATGTGCCATGTCTTTAAAAATATATTCAGAGTATATTAGAAGAAAGACCCCTATTTTTCCCTCATCCTAAATACTGTGTGCAATCTTTGTTTCCTTACCTGAAAAAGATGTAACGCCACCTGAAAATGTTTGGGTCTGTTCAGAATGGTTATTCTTGCTGTCCTTCTCTGAGCCTTTGACATTTCTAATTCAGGCAAGGAATCAGTGGGTTAAAACTGTTCAGCCTGGAAATGTGACTTCTAGTGTGAAAATAGTCTACAGAACTGAGTGGTGTGGAGGACTGAATGGGGGATGGTCGCTCACTGTCTCTTCCAATACAAGAACTAATGGCCATTAGATTAAATTAGTAGGAGTCACAGTCAGAACAAACAAGAAATGTTGCCCATTTTTCATGTGATGAGTACTAAACCTCTAGAATTCCTTGCTGAGAGGTCTCGTGAATGTAAAAATTTACAGGGATTCAGTGAGGACTGAAGTTTATATTTAGACAGATCACATCTGGTTCAGGAAATCCCTTGAGCTGAAATAGCTGAAAGCTGGGAGAATACTTGGAGCAATGTTTCTGTATTCTTGCTCTATTCTTATTTTTCACAGAGCATCTGCTTCAGACCACTCCAAAAGCAGGTGCTGGGTAAAGTGGTCTGAATCAGTATAGTTGTTCTTACTTTCTCAGTCCCCTTTCCCTCTTATGTGTTCTTCACTGCTATTGTAGAAGTTGTTATCCCACGTCTGTGCCACCAGTCGAGTCATTCCTATGGAGTGGAATGGTGACACTATTAAATTTGAAGTCTTTTGTATGATGTATGCTGTAAAAATGCGTTAGGAAGAGCATTGCCAGCAGGTCCAGGAAGGTGATCTTTACTCAGCACTTGTGAGGCTGCATCTGGAGTACTGTGTTCAGTTCCGAGCTCCCCGGTACAAGAAAGATATGGATTTACCGGGCCAAGTCCAACATAGGGCTGCAAAGATGATTAAGGGACTGGAGCATCTTTTATTTGAGGAGAGGCTGAGAGCTGAGGCTGTTCAGCCTGTTGAAGAGAAGGCTCAGGAGGATCTTATCAATGTGCATAAATACCTGAGGGGAGGGACAAGAGGCAATGGGCACAAATTAAAATATATGAAATTTCCCCTGGGCACAAAAAAAAAAAAATTTTTTTTTTTTTTTTTTTTGGTGAGGGTGGTCAAACACTGGATGAGGTTGCCCAGTGAGGCTGTTGAGTTTCCATCTGTGCAGATATTCAAAACCGCACTGGGCACAGGCCCCAGCAGCCTGCTTGGGTGGACCCTGCTTGAGAAGAAGGTTTGGACAAGATGATCTCAAAAGGCCCCTTCCAACCTAAATGATTCTGTGATGATGTGAAGGAGCAACTGTTTTGGGTTACTTGGTTAGGGCCACAGTAAATAAAATAGGGATAACTAATAATAATAATGGAATAAATATGCTAGTAAATCTGGGGTGGAGAGGAAGCAAATGATCACTGGCTAGTGCTCAATGAAGAGAGAAATTAAAGCTGATTGTTAATAGAGACAGAAGCATGAGACTACTCCATTAAACAGCTTTACCATTTAGTCTTTACCTTTTTTCTGTTTAATAGCTGAACTTCGTTCGATTTTATCTTCCTTTGCTTATCCAGAAACATGAGAAAGTAATATATTTGGATGATGATATCATTGTTCAAGGTAAGCTGTCAACCAGAAAGCAAGTTCTAGCAGAATTAAAATCAAAGTTATTGCAGCTTTTACAGTTGTTTGGAAATATTAGATACAATGGACAGTGAGGCAACTGCTAGGAGTGTTGCACTGAGGAAAACTACAAATAATCTGTTTATTTAAAGGGAAGTCTGAAGAATAACTTCTCTCCATATATCTTTTGAATAATTGATTTTGATCAAAATTGTATGTATGGATTTTCTTTGAATTGAATCTGGTCAACTGCTGAAAGATGTGGATTTCACTTAGATGCTGCCATATTTATTGTGAAATATGCGACATGCATTTCCCGCTAGTATTTGAATTCCCACAGATTCTACCGGTTCCTTATCCAGAATTGCTGTTCTTGAGAGCAAGAGGAATTTACTCAAATAAGAGGGTTAAAATTCCAAACACTTCAGATAGGATTTTGAGCATCTTCAGCTCAGAATCCATAGCAGTTTGCAGAAACATGATCAAAGATTTCAGAGTTCCTAGACAAATGGGAGCAGTTAGAAGACACTAAAATCCTGAAAAATCTTTTTTCTTTTTCTTTTCCATACAGAGAGATCTAATTAGAGGAACAATTATTTTTTTAAAGATTAATTTCTGGGTTTTTTTTTCCTCTTCTGTTTCATAGTATATTTTTTTTTCCTCTGTAGAGTCTTTGTCCTCCCTGGTTTTATCATATTGTTTTCTTTTTATTTCATAACATTTCTTAGTCAGAGTGTTGTGGTTTAACCCTGGTCGGCAGCTAATTACCACGCAGCTGTTCGCTCACTTCCTCCCCATCCCCACCCCCAGTGGGATGGGCGAAGAGGAAAGGAAGAACAAAAGCAAGAAAGCTTGAGGGTCAAGATAAAAGAAACTAACCAATACTTGTTTAATAAGTGAAGGATAAGTGGAAGAAGAGAGAAGAGAAAAAAACAAAACAAGTGATGGAAAAGCAGTCACTCACCACTTTGGTGGCTAGAGCGATGCCCATCCAGTTTCCAAGCAAAGCTGGCTAACTGTCCCCAGCCCCCCTCTTTCCCCTTTTGTTGCTGAGCACGACACTTGGTGGCTTGGAGTAGCTCTTTGGTCAGTGTAGGTCATCCACCCGGGTGTGTCCCCTCCCGGCTGGCTGCACTCCCCCTGATCTATTCACTGCGGGGGGCAGAGCAAGGGACAGGGAAGACCTTGGTGCTGTGTAGCACTGTTCAGCAAAAGGTAGAATATTAGTGTGCTATCAGCACTGTTTTTTTTTTTTTCAAAAATCTAAACCATAGCACCATATGAGCTGCTATGAAGAAAATGAGCACTAGCCTAGCCAGGTCCAGTACACAGGGACAACAAAACCGTATCACCTCTCCTTGTCCAGCATTCAAGGGATGTTCTAGTGAAAATTGCCTGTGGAAAGGACTAAGTATAACTATAACAAACTTTTTGGTGTAAGTTAATCTTTGTTGTAAGAACATTAAGATCTGTGAATTTACAGAAGACAAAGGTATAATTTTATTCTTCACTGCTTCTCTGCACCTTTTTATAGGTTTGTCTCTTTAGTGGCATATTTTAGAGCATCTGCACTTAAAGGGGCCACTATTAGCTACTTTATAAAGTAGGATTAATCTGCTCTGCCTATCTCATTTTAATTTGCAATAGACTTCACGTCACAGTTCTTCAACTTGTACGTTTCCGGTGGTTATCTCTGCTTTTTGGTTTTGTTGTTCTGTCTCTCGTTGATGGGCAACAGCAACATTTAACTCTTTGAAAGGTTCTTAAAGTCCTCGTTTACACTCCAGTTTCATGAGCCCTTTAAGCTGAGCCCACCTCTTCCTCTGCATCCCCCCTTGCACCTGCGCAGGCATTCATCAGAAATGCGGTTACTTTCAGCCCAGGTAAGTTCCCTGGTAGGAGTTGAGGCGGTGTGGCTGGGAGAAGAGGGAAGGTAGGACTTTCCCCTTCGTTAGGGGTCTCAGCTTCTGTCAGCTGATAGCATTTCTGGAGCCACAGGGTAAAGGTGCAGTTTCGCATTACAGCTCACGGGAGGCTGCGGCTGACAGAAGTGGCCTCTCCTGTCCCCAGGCAGCTCCTGTTACTTGTGTCACAGCTACAGTTGTGCAGCTGCAGAATAAGCTGATTCGGCTGGTTGACCTGGCAGAAGACTAGTGGTACCAAAAAAAAAAAAAAAAAAGAGACGTTTTGGTTTGTTTTGTTTTTAAATCTTTGCTTCAGCCAGCTGATTGTGCTCCCCATTGGGCTGTGCAATCACAGGGCCTGGGAGAGGGAGCCTGTTGTGGCAGCTGCTCCCCATGTTTTGGCTGTAAGGTAAGACTGTGCTGTCTGTCAGGTGTCTCTGCAGTGGGACAGAATGAGGCTTCTGACAGGGTAAGGAGTGAGTGGGGTTTTCAAGGTTTAACTTTGGGATCGTTTATTTGCTCATTGTTGCTTTCTGCAAAGCAGTGAGAATGAAACATACTGAACTTGGGGTGTCAGCTCAGAGTTGTTTCTCCTTCCCCCCCCTTTAAAAGCAGAAGCTCTTTCAAATCAGGAGAAAATACTTAGCAAGGCATGTTGGTCTTCAACAATTGAGTGTCCCATTAATTAAAATTCTGTTTCTTGGTGGGACAAGAGTCTTAAACCAACTTTTCCGACCAGCTGATGAGTTCAGACAAATAAATAATCTCTGCTTATTTCAGGAACAGTAGTTACAGTGTTTGCAGTATGAGGGCTGCTTTGGGTTACTAGTCTTTTAGTGAGCTCACCTCAGGCTACTGGGCCGTCTGTGGCCTTCCAAGAGAATTCATCTTGTCTGTGACCGACCCATGCCCAGCAGCGAGGCCGGTATCTGCCGGCAGTTTGGATGCAGACTCGCTCGATTGCTGCGGCAGCGCTGTGCTTCCCACCTGCCCTGAAACTGTTCTGGCACATCCTGGGTACCTGCTGGGCAGGCGATGAGTGAGGGGCCAGGCCTTACAGTATTTCCCTCCACTGGGAAGGAGTTGGGTGGTCCGCGAAGCCCGCAGGGATGGTCAGGTGTGATGGGTGCATTTCAACTGGTCAGTGCTGGGAATCCGGGTATCTTATGAGGAGGTATAAACACAATAACACCGGGGGAAACCTCATCTGTGCAAGAGATTGAAGTGGCACTTTTGTGGGACTTGAGGCTCAGAAAAATTGCCTATGCCCTCCCTCTCTGAAGGCAAGCTCTACGAATGAAGAACTTTGCAACCAGCCTTGGTAACAGTGTAATCGGCCTCTGTCCTGGCTGATTTGAGGCATTCAGACCAGAATATGGATGTATTGAATACTGGTGACAATATCTAAAGATAGATCTTAGATGTCCAGGTACAGGACTCAAATTTGAAAATTGTCCCATATTACAAAGTTCAGCCTTAATTAAAATTTGGGCTACCCCCTCAAATTGGTATGTTCATAAGTAACAGATAGGCGAACAGAAGGAATTGTATCAACTCTGTAGCAGTGAATTAGGTTTCTTACCTTTTTGACCTTTTTGTCATCAGGTGACATCCAGGAACTCTATGATACTAAGTTAGCTCCTGGACATGCCGCAGCTTTTTCAGATGACTGTGATCTGCCTTCTACACATGAAATGGTTAGAAGTGTAGGGATGCAGGTAAGATGCCGTTTTGGAATTCTAATAATAAATGTGTATTCACCCATAAATGTAAGATGATTTTATACATTTTCCCCAAAGTGAGAGTTGTATATATTTTTAAAATAGTTTTGCAATAGTTTTACAAGTAATTAAGAGCTACTTTTTGTAGCACCTCTGTAGTGCTGTGCAGAGTTGTTCCTCTGGTAATTTATGTCTCTGTTCTTTGGATTCTACTAAATTGTGTTTGGTATTTTGCCATCAGTGGATCACAAGCACTTACGGAACATCTAATGAAGACAGAATGTATGATATTTGTATTAGTCAAACTGGGAATGAAATTTAGGAAAACAAGTTTAAATGCTAATTCCTGGAGCTGAGTTCCTCAGAATTGCCAGTGAGTCCCTCTAGCATTACAGCTGTACAAGCGTGATGCTACATCACTTAGCGTAAGCTACAGAAAGACAAACACGTGGTGAGGGAAGAGCTTTATCAAACTCCCATAGAACAATACTGTGGAAAAAGGGATTCAGTAGCTGGAAGTATCCTGCCATTCTGCCCTGTGTCATATGGAAATCAAGACAGGTAACCATCATTTACAAACTCAGCTTTGGGAGTGTGTATTTAGTCTCCATGTGAGTGGTAGGGAGATGCATTTACATGTATCTTTATAGAGATTCATAGGGGATTAATCATACTTTTTTTTAATTTCTTAGAACACGTACATGGGATTCCTGGACTACAGAAAGCAAGCGATTCGAGATCTTGGCATCAGCCCCAGCACCTGCTCCTTTAATCCTGGAGTAATTGTTGCTAACATGACTGAATGGAAACATCAACGGATTACAAAACAGTTGGAAAAGTGGATGCAAAGAAATGTGGAGTATGTGTAGTAATCTAGCTTTGTACTTTACTTCTAATGTTCAGTTTACAATTGTATTTTCTGTTTAAAAGCTCTTTCAAGTTTTTTAATTCCAAGCAGTTGTTCTTTGAGATTTCATCAAGTGAAGTAACTCATGCTCCAGAATTTCCATCTGCTTACATCTGGCCAGTTGTGTACCAGGAAATGGCTACCTGGAGTTTCAGCCTCTTATTTAATTGCACACCACACTTGATCCTGAGGGACACTGAGAACACGTGGTTCTTGTGCTGGGTGACCAACCTCACTGGGGATCAAGCCACTCATGATCTTCCCTTCCTGAGGCTGGCTTAAAGAAGGATGAACATTTCCTTGTTTGTGTGGAGTCTCTCTTATTGTATTGTCAATCAAACCGTAACTGGACACCATATTTCTTAAATACCAATAGAAAACACTACTTCTTCTATAGATGAACAGAATTGGACAAGAAAGATACCTTTTTGTCATTGGCCACGAATAAGTCTTGATGCAGTAAAACAACACTGTTCATTTTTTATGTTCACTGTTAACCTGTATTTGCAAACTTGTTTTTTTTTCCTTTTCTGCAAAGGGTTACATTTAAATTTAGTGAGGTTAAACTGCAACGGGATAGCTTGTGCTATGGGACTCTGTCTGTAACTTGTTTGTTTCAGAACTCCATGGAGGAGACACACAAATGATGAGCGTGTGAAAGAATGAAAAGCCAAATGTCTTGCTCTTGTTCTGCTTATGTAACATATCCTGACAAGCTATTGCTGGGCTTTTTAAGAGTTTGAAAAAACTCCATGAGCATCACTGCAAATTTCATCGATAAAGTTGGTTTTACACCTTACTAACACATTCGTGTTCCTTTTAGGTGGATTTTGAAAAGATAGTGAAATAAATTGCTTAGCGCTTGAAACCCAGTTTTGAGGAGAGGTTATGATTTTTTTGTTCTGTAGCTTCTAAACATCTGCTGGTACTTGCCAGGTTTCTTCCTTGTGGGGCTAAGGGGGTGGCACTGTGTCCCACAGCGGGGGTGACTTCACCCAGGTGCCCACTGGTCAGCAAGGCCTCAAGCACACTGTGGCCAGACATCTGGCTGCTACTCCTCCTGCCTCCCCTTGCAGTGATTTGGATTTATCTAGCCCTGGCTTTATAACAAAATGAATAGGAAATAGATATATCCTTTAGATGTTAGTTTATACTAACTAGATTTTGGCAAAATCCGACTGCAGTTAGCTTAGGGGTCTAAAAGTTGTGGGATGGGGGAAAGGGGAAGAAAGAAGGAATGAGACACATGGAAACGTGCATTTTCTTAAGAAACCAAGCTAAAATATGTTTGATTCCTTGCTATTAACAGCTGGTTTTGCACTGTAAACTCTGTCAGCCTTGCAGACAAGCAGTGGTGTTTGGAGGTAATTGGCATCAGGTCGGGTCAGACTCCCATTTTGCTTCGTAGCAATGATTTACTCAACGGGCATTGGAGTTGCGAATACAAGCAATTAACATCATTAGGAAGGAGTATGCTGAAAATTGGTCTGTTCCAAATGATTTTGAATTTTGCCAGGATACCCCACTTGTAATCTTCTGCCTTTTGTACTAAAGGTTCTTTGATTGAGGTTTTGAACATTTTTTTCCCCTTTTGCAGGGAAAACCTCTACAGCAGCACCCTTGGGGGAGGTGTGGCAACCTCTCCCATGCTGATTGTATTTCACGGGAAGTATTCCCCTATTAATCCCATGTGGCACATAAGGCATCTTGGTAAGTTTAACTTCCCACCGTTCGCAGTTGGAACTCCAAGTGAGCAGTTTGTAAGATTCCAACAGAGGACCTCGCCTTACTTTTACCTCAGTGTGTTACTTTATACCTCAGTTCTACAGTATGAAATCCCTGCTTCCCCCAACACTTGTTAGTCCTGCTTTCTTCAGGGTAGGGCAGAATGTGGGGGTTCCCCACAGGTGTCATGATGCAAATATCTTAACGGGTCAAGCAACCAAAACAGTTGCACCCCTGCAAAAAAAAACCCAAAGCCCTAGTAGTCATTAAATTGGATTAAAAAAACGAATAAAACAAATACCAGGGACAAAGTTACATGCTCAAAGACCAGCTAACCTGTGTTGTCATAAACTATGGGAAGAATGTATGAGAGATGTGAAATAAATCAGATGCTCTCTTAGTAGGCACAGTAGAAGATGTGATGCCCGGCCCTGTGTGTCTATTCAGCATTCTGGAGGGTGTAGTACCTTTCACCTGGGAAAAAGATAATGGCTTAGCTGGTATAGTAAAATGATTTGCTGTTTTAACCCCAGCTGTGCCAAGACATTAAAAGTGTTAAGAGAGAGGAAACTTGCTGAGATTGTTTTGCCGCTGCAGCGTTAGAAGCATGAAACTGAAAAAAGCTACTGTCATACAACTGGTTGTCTCTTGTGAAACCATACTATCCGACTTCTTAAAAAAAAAAAAAAACAAACCTGAATTCCCCTCACTCTGTAGTGCCTTCCGTTATTAAAAAGTGGATTTACAAAATTTTTTTTTAATCTATCCCTGCAGGTTGGAGTCCTGATACCCGTTACTCTGAGCATTTTCTTCAAGAAGCTAAATTACTTCATTGGAATGGGAGATACAAACCTTGGGACTATCCCAGCATTCACACTGATCTCTGGGAAAACTGGTTTATTCCCGACCCTTCAGGGAAGTTCAAATTAACACGTCCTGATAGCTGATACTGAAGCCACTTGAATGCATCCATATGCTATGTTTTGCAGTATGTAATAGTTTGAGATGCAACATGTTGTATGATTAACTGATTTTAGAAAATGAAGCATTTGTTAAATATATGAAGAAACGACCATCACTTTTGCCTGCTTATGGCTGGAGAGGGAGGCTGGAGTGACAGTTACACTGTTCAGATGATCTTGACTTTCATGTAAGGTGAGGAAAGAAGTTGACTTGACAATGAAGTGTTTTCAGTAACTGTTTGCAGAGCTCTGTGACTGTTTTGCAGTGTTTCTGGGTATTACATATCCTGTAGTGCATTTCGACCCCTGTGAGCAAGATGCAAAAGCACATCCTGAGACACTGCAATACAATTTCTGATTTTATTGTGAAGCATTGATAGATTTAAGACAGATTAAGAACTTTTGTATTACTGTAAGGAAAAGAGCACCAGTTCTGAGGGAGGACACATAGAATGGCAATATTCAGTGAAACGGTCATTGTACACTTAAATGTATTTTATACTTAGATAACTGAGTAGGTGACTGTTAAGGAAGAGACCTTTCCTTTCCTGTCAAACAGGATAGCCTTACAGTAGTTATATCCTACTGTGCTACATACTCAGCAGTGCTAATTACATGCTTCTAGTTTTGTTGAAAAATAAAATTGAATTGTAACAAATCCCTGATGCAAGATACTTAGAGCACCTGCAGGAAAACATCCATGTAAACAGCAATACATGACACAGTACACTTTAAATAACAGACAAGATGAGTCCTATACCTTTTTGACAATATACCAAACAGCTTTATGCCGAGGCTAAGAAACACAATCAGAACCAGAATGCACACTTCCTTGATTTAAGACGCTCAGAATTAAGCCACGTAATTTGGGAGGAAAACTGTAAACATTGTGCCTGCCTCACAACAGGTTGACAGTGTGTGATCTCAGTGACAGCTGTTACAGCAGGATTAGAAGCTACGCCAACTAGTTGCACTCAATGCATGACAACTGTCACTGGCTGTGAGGAAAGGATAAACCACACCAGTACAGGAATCTCTGACCAGTGTGGATTGTGGAGATACTGTTTGTATCTATTTTTCAAGTATGTGAAGCACCTACTGTCATAAGATCATCAAAACTTTAATGTTTTGATCAGCTTATTGCTTTTACTTCCTCACATGATAAAAGAGGGAAAGAAGATGATGGTTAGGCACAAGCATGGAATCTCCTTTCCCTCTCAGTCACTAATATTGGCCAAAACTGTGCATTGTTTCAGCAAGTTCCTCAGAAGAGAGCTGTAGCTTCTACAGCCGACTTCTTATCCATGGAACAGCTGCCCTTATGTTTAACTTAGTATTTTTCACTTGTAAGAGGACTAAGGAGAACACCCTTTAAAGTCTTACAGCTTGAAGAGAACCAAGTGTTAAAAAATGCTAACTTGCCAACCTCTTTCACCCTGTGCTAATTGTACCTGATGTAAACAACACAGCTGCACGTGATTTTTGCAGGGAATGTGGTCTTTCAATTCCTTGCAAGGTAATCTGTTCAAAGAGATTGTCTCCTGCTAAAGGTCAGGTGAAGAGGCGAATCACACAGAAATGACTGAGTGTTTAAATGCCACAGAATTCAAGAACCACCACTGTTTTTTTTTGGTTTTGTTTTTGTTTTTTTTCCCAAAGGAAAATTCCAGTTCCTTACATTAGAATTTAAGGGGGAAAGAGATGGAGTGGTAGGCACGCCTTACCCTAAGACAGCTCAGCCAGAATATTTAGGCCCTGTCCTGTGCAACACAAATCTTCCTTCCCAATGTTGTGACTTGAGATGATGTCTCCACTCCCTTAATCCTGAAGACAGTCAAATCACTCAATAAACGGGGCTCTCTATTCCCACCCAGAAAATACTCAGTACTCACAGCTGCAGAATGCAACTTTCTGCACTTTTTAAAGAAGGTAAAAGGCAGGCTTAAAAAGCACAATTTGTTTAACTGTGCATGATTAAAAACACCACTTCATTTAAGATACGGGTACACTTCCCGTTTTCCCCTCCGGATACAAAAGGATTAGGAGATACCCAAATACTGATGCATCAGTAAAAAGTATACTGCTGCTGTTACTACTACATTACAATTTACGGAATAAAATTAACGCCCCAAAGAAATCTTCACAAATGAGAAAGCAATTTGTCAAAAACTGCAAGAAATGGTATACATTAAATATAAAACTCATATACAAAAAAGGGCTAACTTTTCTTTTAAAAAGTTTGGACAGTTCCTTAAAATTATCTAGTTCATTGATTGGAGCCTACCACACAATTACTTCGGACTAGAATAAAATAACTAGGGGAGATAAAATACTATGAAAATGCTTCAGTTGGAGAACCGAGGTACCGATCTTGGTCACTGCATTAAAACTGCAGCACGTGTGCACAGCTGAGAAGAAACAGCCTTTACGCACTGCTTCCCTCTTCTTCCCGTGTCACACCAGCACTGAACTCTGGAATCTGGTCTGCAAAGGGCTGGGTCATCCAGTGTCCATTAGGAACTTCACTGAAGGACGACCCCTCACAGTACTGTGGATTGTTTGCTGCTAAAACAAACAAAAATAATAAAATACAGGTTTTATACTGCAGCTGACACTGCTAAGGATTTACTCATACGTAATGCTTTACAGACCAAATGCCCCAGGCACCGCACTTTACCAGTTCCGTTTGAAGAGAAACTGCACTGTTCACTCTCATACGGTGCGCGATCACAGTAAGCTCCTCCATACGCCGCTTCATAACCCGGATCGTATTTTTCTTCTTTGACAGCCATCTTTTTAGCATCCTCTGCCGAAACAGGAGACCTCAAGTATTAATATTCCGAACAAAAATGACCAAACAGCGCATTTTGCAGAAAAAGTATGAAAAAACGGCCACCTATTCTACAAAATAATCCTGCTCCCCGTTGTATTAGTGTCTTAATTATCTCAGAGAATATCATCTGTAATTCTACACCACATGATTTAGAGAAGGTGGCACATTCCCCTCCGCCTTAAATTCTTTATTTCTTTTTACCTGGGTAACTGCTAGTTGTGTTGTACGCTACACTACATTTTAATAAAGGATTAACAAAATAACCACTATACCTTGTGCAAGTTGCAAGTCAAATGTGTACTGCACCTCCTGCACCTCTGTGTTTGGTGTGATGCCTTTCAGTTGATCCCTTAAGTCTTTCAGCTTTATGTAATAATGAACTTTATCTTGTGCACGAGGAAACTGAGCACATCTTGCACTGGATGATGGCATAACATAGCAGAGCTTGAGACAAAGAGCAAGAAATACAGCATTACTGGTCCCTGAGCTACGAAATAACAGCTAAGCTCACTGTTTTAACCCTTTTTACAAATGAACTAATGCCACAGGTGGTTGTGGAAGAGGATAAAAGGAGTCCCTCGTTTTTCTCAGTCAGCTGGCTATCTTGCCCTGCAGAGAGGAGCCGATTAACAGCCGCTGAATCGAGGACAATTTCCATCAGGTGTTTCCCTGCTGCAGGGGAAGCACTACCAGTGCGTGCCACAAGAACAATTTACGAGTGCAGGCCAGAGAGAGCAGCACACTCCAGAGCTCCCTCCCAGAGCCAGCGAGAGTGCCGAGGAGTACGCGACAGCGTGCGAACAGCCCAAACCCGCCGGTTAACGAGCCTGGCTTCCCGGCCAGGGCACCTGCAGCACGCGCTTGCCACGCTTCGGAACGCTGGAGCTGGTGTGGCTGAGACCACCTTAAGCATCCCTGTCTCTGCCAATGGCTCTGAAGATATAAAGTTGGTTCAGGGAAAAGGAACTGGACCCGATACTTTTGTTACCCTGCAGTATTTATGAACGAGCACTAGTAAAGAGGACTATCTTTCTTACAAATACATCTACTAGGGAAGTCTTTAAGAGCTACTTAAGAAGCAAGCACTTTATCAACACCGGTTCTTCAGGCTCTGATGGCAAGGCTTCACCTTCAGAGGACAGCTTAAACTTGCAGCACTAGTAATTTGGGACAGAAATAAAAATGACCCAAACTTTTGAACTGACTAATGGAGTCTTGGCAGGTAGTGTAACTGCCTTTGCCTTAACCTGTTTATAAGGACAGGTTAAGCAGACCTATTTGTGATGATGCATAGCTGGTCTCTTGAGGTATCTTCCAGCACTAGGTATTTATGACTAACACAGTCTGCAACAAACTGTTTGGTTTATCTGAAGCGTCCAAGTAGATTTCAAACTGCAAATCAAGTTAAGAAGACTTAATGAGTCTGATGGAAGCGCCTGGGCGTGCCCAGATCCAGTAACGCTGTAGCGGTAGCATGTCACAGCACAACCATGGACTTACTATTCTTTCTCCCCCACTGTGGCACTACCAGCACCGTGGTCATGTTTGGTATCAAAATCCAGTAATACAAACATACAGGGAACTGTGCACAGAGAATCAGATGAAAGTAGATGACAGTTATCATAGAAGCGTGGATGTCTCATCCACATTTCAGATAGTCCTCAGATAACGTACCAACCCACTAACCATAATACACCATTTCCCACATAAAGTCTGAAGAAGCTGCATTAAAGATATGTGTGAAAATTGCACTATTCCCCTTCCTCTATTTAAGTAAAAGCCTTTCACATCTCTTCTACTTTGGGCAAACTTTGATGTTATCGTAAGTGCGTGCAAGTCCTGTGACTTTGTTACTTCTGAAACAGCCAAAACGGAGTGCCCTGGTTTTGTTTCACAGCACCAACACTTACAGTTTCTGTATCTGGCACCTTGTGTGGCTGCAGTCCAAATTCCAAGTTCTTCACTTTTATTCCAAAAACTTCTTTACTAAAAATTTCATAAATACCTAAAATGAAAAGAAGATAGGGTAAGTGAACAAAAATAATTACCGCTACTGACAGAATAAATGCATTTAGAAGTCACAGTTCTTACATTTTCCATTGAAAGCTGCTATACGAGGTTTGTACTTTTGTAACTTCTGCATCAGAATTCGCCCTCCTTCCCGAAATTCTTTGCTGAAAGAGAAAGTACTCAAAATTATAATCACAACTGTTAATTCATTAACAAGCATGATATTCACCCTTGTTATCCTACCTGGAGAGGTCTTTGCTTCCAGGTGTTGTCCTTTCAACCATGTTTGTAAACCCGATCCCGTATTTATGTGGCAAGGTGTGGTCATCCATATGGTTCAGCTGTTCATTACTTAGACCAGACATGAACAGACACTTCCCTGTGAAGTAGGAAGACAGGCATTTGCCTTTTTCTAAGGAAAAAAAAAAAAAACAAAACCAAAAAACCCCCTCGACCATCAAGAGTACTGGAACACTAAAGGAAGAATCTATGTTAACAATGTCAGTTAATATGGGAAGACTATTGCCCTATCCAGAAAAGTTTAAAATAGCCAAAATTAATTCATCTACTGCAAGCAGATAGAAAATCCCTAACGAACAACAGGAATTCCTCACCATGATCCTGTGTATGGAAACCAGTCTTTTATTACAAAAGATCAGTACAGAGCTTTAGGCTTTGTGATTCACTTAAGCGTGGAGTGAACGTGATCAATATGGATTTTTGTGGCAAATAACGTGGCAAATACATCAGCTCTCTTTTACAACCTCGCCATCGCTTCTCCTCGCACTGGGCCTCTCTGACTGAAGACGTTGACA